ACCAAGGCCCCGCGGGTCAGGGCTGCAGCACCCGCGGCCGGTGGAGCGTCCCTGACACGGGGGAAAGGCCTCACCCATGGGGGTGACGGGGGAGGACGTGCGGAAATAGCCATGGGCACCCTTTCCCCCCAACCCCGCCAGCACTGCCATCGCTCCCGTGCCTCAGTCTCACCCGTGAAATCCCAACAAATAAATGCCAGTAAAGGAAGGTGTCAGCGGTGGATGAAGTTTGTCTCTGGCAAGCACCACTTAGGCACGCAGGGTTGCAAAGGCCCGCTGTATGGATTCAGAACCTTCCTCCACCACATAGGCCTCGGGTGGGTGCCTGGGGGTTTGGGCAGGAGTGTCTCTGCTGTATCAAACCGCTGGGGAGTGCAGGGCTTAACTCAGGTGCCTCTTGTGAGCGGGTGGGAGGGCAACGTTTAGGGGAAGTACATTTATTTATAAAGGAGCCAGTAAAGTTACTGGTAAAGTTAATGCAGGTGGGCCAGGAAGAGGATTTCTGTGAAGCCTGGTAGAGAGCTGGTACCTCTGGCTTCAGTGAGATCTGGCTTTCGTCAGTGTTCACAATTAATTCACCCTTTTTTCTGAGCAGGGCACCAGCACAGTTGAGTGCACTAGGTAGGATAGTGAATGGGTATGAACACAATATTCCATTTTGGTTTCAACAGAAATATCTTTTTTAAAGATATGTGACTGTTCAGTGGGGTCAGCTGAAGTCTGTTGTTGCTTCTCCTCTTTACCCTGCCGCTCCATTTTCTTCCCTACTGTGGTATGTGTGTGGGGGTGATGCACTCGAGGCTTGTGGCCAGCTAACCAGATCCAAGAGAGGCTTTCTACACAGCATTAGAAATGCCTAGTACTTTTTTGGAGAGAAGGAAGAGAAAGAAACTGTGCCTATTACAAAATAATCTTCCCTGATACTCTGCTGCCTTGAGTAGTCCTCAGAATTGCAGAAATGAGGAAATGGGAACACCACTTTTGGACTGGCAGCCTTCACAAGAGGGAATTCACCTAGGTTTCACCTGATGAGTTTGGATGATCTCCCCAACTATGCAATGAAATTGGAAAAACAGAAAAGAAGTGGGCTGAGTGCAGCCAGTGAATGTTGCAAGGAAACATGCAGCTGGGCTGACCTGTGACTTTAGTACAGCTCTCTAATTGCTGAAATTGCCTCCAGTAAAGTGCAACTCCTAAGCTCAGGACTGCAGGTACAAGTGAGACCTATGAGTGAAGGAAGATGAATGGTGCTCTGAGCTATGTTTTCCTGTGGCAAAACTTCCTTTAAATTTACATTCCCTGTAAATAAAGGAAAAATCCAACCCAAGAAGTGTAACCTTATCCTAGGTGTCCTCCAGCTCATCCTTCCCATTCAAAAAAAATGTAAACGTACCAATGCTTTTTGCCTGAAATGTCCATGCTACTTAGGAGTAAAGGGAGTTTGTCTAGTACCTCTTTCACTCTGGAAAGGTTGCATATAGGTTTAGGTTTACACAGCAGGTGTGACTTCAAGACCCATAATCCCAAGTGAGAAAGATCAATCTGAATAACCATTTGGGTTCTTTCTGGGAGTAAGCTGTGTCCTGTTTGTGCAGCCAAGCTGAAGGAGGTAGCTCTGTTTAACTTGTCAGCAAAGATCTTACTGCAATACAGTAATGAGGCTCACTAAGCCACACACGATTCTATCACAATACTTGCTGTGTAGGTAAACCCAAAGGATGCAGTTGAGTGCTGCAGGGCTCTGTCATGCAAATCTGCCCAGAACTGGAGCCTTCCACCTGTGTATTTGTTGGAATACCACTTCTGCAACCTGCAGCAAGCCTTGGCTTAGACCACTGTTCTCTGGCACAGGTCTCTAACAGATCAAACTGTAAACCTTTTAGCTGTCAACAGCTGTGAACCTTTGATATTTGGAGACTAAAAGAAAATATGTTTTAAAGCAATACTATTACTATAATTTCATTTTCATTTCCTACCTGTAGACTCATTTATTAAATGCTGTAGAACACTATATTGTTTATCATGGTAAGAACTTAATATGTGTAGGTTTTACCTTAGGATAACAAGCAATTGGCAGTGTGTTAGCACTTTTTTTTTTTTTTTTTTTTAATTACTGTAGACTTAGTTTCTCCTACACAACTAAAAATACAACTCAGCTCATTATTGGCTTGAGAATTATGGATGATAATGTATTTTGGGCTAATAAGCCCAAAGATCATGAATATCTTTGAGTATTTTGGGACTTCTGGGTTTTGAATCAGCAACAGGGAAGGCAGGCTTATAGTTGGCAGAGAAGATATTTTAGATTATCAATTACCTCAAAAGGACAAGATAGAATTTATTTCAAAGAAGTTTTCATAATTCAAAATGATCCACCAAAAGGCAGTAGAAGTTTAAATTTGCATTAAAAAATCTACAAGATAAATTGATGGCAGTTCTGCCTAAAGGCAGAATGGCCTCACTAAAACCCTAAGTAGATAAAACAGGAGAAAAAATGTCATTTCAGAGATATATTCATATACTTAAGGATATTACCCTGCACAAAGCCCATACTACCTTATTACACTGGGTAACTTGGAGCAATGAAATTAACATTCAAAGCCTCATTAGAAAGCCTTTACCAGATGGCTAGTTTTGTCTTCTGTGCATTCTCCTGCACCAGCTCACTGCACTAGTACATGTTTGCCTTACATGCTGGGATCTGTATAGATTGAAGGAGATTTCAGATGGATTTTTCAGTATCATGGAGCTGTCTTTTCAAATAACTTGAGGCTGCTACAGAATTACTGGTCTATATTACCACTGATAATGATTTGTTTTTAAGTAGACAACACTTATAATCTGGGTTGTGTGAAGTAAATGTAAAGATCTGCAGTAATTGTGATTCTCTCGCACTTAGAGATTTATATAGACCACCTACATGCATGAAAATGACTGATGATTTATATTGCTCAGCATACAATAACCTGTTGATCTGTTATATGTGATGCTACATTATAGAAGCACCTTGTAACACCTCTGCTAATGAAGAGCTGTGACTACCCAATTCTATGTAACCATAAACCCTTCAAAAATCAGTTTATCCATAGATTGTCTGTACCAGAAGAACAATTTATTTGATTCCCAATTTTTCTTGCTGAAAGCTTTCTTTGACTTTCTTTCAGTCTGTCAAATAATAAAGAAAAGGCTTAACCCCTCCTCAGCTGTACAGTACATCCCTAAATCCATGCCCCAGGGTAAAGTAATACTCTACTTGATGAGAGCACCATCATGCCTCTGAGGATCTCAAATCACTTTTCAAATATTAAAGTTCCCCAGCACCACTATGAGATATTTATGAATACATGGCAGTGACCTTCATTTTATAGAATAGGAATCTGAGGTGCAGAAAAGTTAAACAACTTGGTCAAGCTTACAAAATGATACTGAAGGTGTCATGGAGGAGAACATGGAGGCATAGATTTTTCAGTCATGTGCTTTAACAGCTAGAAAATGCTCCTTCTGAGAACAGGGAAGGAAAAAAGGGGGAAAATATGAATAAGAATCTATAGATGTTGTAGATAATTAAGATGTGTTGGCAGAATGGTGTATGAGATACAAGGGAAAATCACAGTAGTTTCCAGCTGAAATATATCCACAGAGGGAGAGATGTACAGCCTCCTGGAATAAGCTCTCAAATGAACAGTCAGCCATTAAATGGAAATGTGGATTTGAGATCTATCCGTCAGGACATCTTCAAACAATTTATACCTATGACCAAGTAATACTGGCTGCTGTTCAATATCCGATCAGCTGAAGAAACCTTTACTAGCAAGTGTGAATGATTGAGCTGCAGGATATAGATGACGCAGAACTGAATGCGCTGGGGAGACAACCCCATGCATCTTGGCTATCCCACTGCCTTCGTTTTGATGGTACAAAATCGTCTCAAAGTTGATGCCATGGAAGTTACTTCTAAAGAAGAATCAGGGAGCTAGAGTCCTACATTACCAGAAAACTAATTTAAAAATATATATTTCTAAAACAAAACCCTTTGCTCACAGGTGAGATTTTCCAAAATATTCAGCACCGGCCCAAAACAGCTCCTTCTGAAACTAGCAACAAGAACAGTTTCAGTTCAGTAGAAGCACAACTGGTCCAAAGCCATGCTCTTTGGACAATCCCACACCTATTATTTTTGGTAAAATGTTATTTTTAACTTTAACAAGTCACATCTTTCACTATTGTCTTTTAGTAAATGAAAATGCCCAAATTCAAACACTAAGAATAACAATGATCTAATTTCATCATTTCTATACATAAATATTTCAATAGAAAGATCAATCCACTGCCAATCTGTTCTTGTGTGTCCTCTTAAAAAAAAAAAAGGTGGCTTGAATATTCTTTGGTACAAAATCAGTTTTTCTACCACACACAAGTGATCTGTGTGTGCATGAAGTTACAAATCACTGGTTGTCATAAAATCAGGCCATGAAAAATTTCACTTGGAAACATGTCACGCAAAGTTGGATATTGGGTGTGAGATTAAAAAACACAAATGAAACTAAATCACAATTCCCAAACATAAGAGATTATAAATTTGGGTAACCAAAATACAACCCGTTCAGAAGCCAGGCAGATCATTTAAGTAGACATGTTTTAAGACATGCAATCCTGATGGATCATGCCCTCCAAGACAGATCTGTTTACAGCTATGATCTGAACACTTCGTAACCGCTGGATGTGTCAGGCTATTGAAAAGCTGCTACTTAGGCCACAGACTGAGTGGGCGTGTTTGGGTGCCCATGTTATAACCTGCCAACATTAGAAATGCCCATGCCGCAGGCCAGGTATCTCTTGAAACATCTTATTACCCTTTTCTTGGAATATGGAAGTTGAAAGCAGGCAGCCTTGTGGCAAAGAGAGAAATAAAGACAACAACTGCAAAACTGTGTTGTTTTTATTTTAAACATGCAAAATACAGTTCATGCATCTGCCATTTTGAAAAATTTCTCAGTTCATAGCAGATTAAACCAAAGACATTTTGGCTATCGACTCTCAATAAATATTTCAAAATGCTTTACAGTGTAAAGATAAGAAATTTAGCAAAATTTCAACAAACCTGTATAAAAAACAGATACAGATAACTTTTTATTTCAAGGCGACATGCTGTAATGTAAAGAGTTCACTTTTCTTTTTCTGGATTTTTTTTCTCATAAAAAGTTTTCAACAATACAACTGCTTAACAGATTTAGGCCTTTAGGCTACACATGCAAAAAAAATGGTTATTTTAGTTAAAAATCACCAAAACGTGCTATTTTTTTGTTTGTTTCATTTTTAAGTACAGTAGTTGTAGACAGTAGCATTTTTCTTTTTTAGTTTTGTAAAAGAGTGCAGGCAGGTTCATGGAGCTAGTGTCCTGGAAGACTCGTACTCTGACATACATTTTGGTTTTATCCCTTTGCCATTGTAATAGTCCACGACTTGGTTTGGAACTTCAGCCAAAACGCTTTTTGCTAGAGCAGCTGGGGATGCCTGCAGGAAATGGTAGAAAACACAAGCGTTAACCTGTTTCTCTGCTAGATGTGCCATGGGCTTTAGAGGCATTGGTGCCATGAGATCAGGGTAGGAAGTGTGGTACAGAAATGGAAGGCAAAAAAGACACAAAGTGAGTGGCACTATTGCTGGCAACTCATGAGTCTGTTTGGGCATGTAGCTCTAGCTGCTTGAAAGTACCTAAAGCCAGAAGGGCTCTGCATGGTTTTCAGGTCTGTTTATACTATTTTAAGTTTGGGGTAACTGAACTTCCCTGCACTCTGGGAGAGCACCATATCCAGTGAAAAGGGCTGCAAAGACTTCATTCATCAGTACTCAGCAAGGAACCCTGCAGAGCTACAAGGTGAACATGAATGGACATCACTGTAAAGGGAGGCCTTCATCACCATTCTGCTCTTCAGGATCTGGCATGATATTTTAATGGCTGGGAAAGTCTTTAATTCAATAAAAAATACTTTGTTTTCATTGGGAGTAAACCATGGTCATGAGAAAATTTCAAGGTTTTGTGGAGGCTTCCTGCAACATATAAATGGTGGGTTGTCAAGCAGACTTAAGAACCCATGACCGTGAAATGTAGAGATGGATGTAAAGATGGCCACTGGCTTTTTGCCCCAGACAGGGTGGAGGGCTACCTCTTAGTGCAGAGAAACCATACTCTCCATCACCAACACACAGTTGCTGCCTCACAGCCTCACACTGTTTCATTTTAAGCAGCGGGGCCTGCGGATGTTTTGTAGGCAACTGTTATCTGCATGTACTGCAGGGATTGCCCTAAACCCCTGAATTCAGCAGAGACAAAACTGGACTTCTGTTCTCCCATGCAGCCCAATAGCACCCTCTTGCCCCATGTTTTGGATTTGCTTGTTTCTAAGTATTTGGACAGAGTTGATTCCATGCCTCCCAGGGCCAGCCTGCCCAACCATGTTCCCTCTGAGCCCACCACAAAAATGCAGTAAAAATGCAAATGCTTAAACTTTGGTTTAAGATAAACTAATGTGTTTATCTCCAGACAGAGTACACGTGGATCACACATTGCAGCTCAGACGTTGCACGGGAAGTCAACCTATGGCTACATCACATTTCTTCTGCATACCAAGTACTTTTTCCCAGGTTAATGAACACATCCCTCCTCACTGTCTGTTACATTGTCAACTGGGTTTCAGACCTACCGTGTCCAACCTAGTTGTATTGACTGTTTATTGCCTTACTCTATTTCATGGGGTGGGATCTTTATCCATTCAGAGTGTTAAAATTAGGCTTACATAAGATGTAAATGGTAAACTATTCATAGGCAAGCTAATCCAGGGGTGCAGAAAGCCTCTGGGCTATTATAAATTCTAGCATCAGATGTTACAATACTACAAAACAATGACAATGCTAGCAAAACCAGAAACAAAACTATTTTTTAATATGCTGGTATTCTGACTCATATATGTGTTTAGTAATGAATAAAATGCACCGCTATTTCCCAACTGTGACATTTATACCAAAATATTTGTGCAGGCAAAAAAGCCTGGAGCATTTCTGCATGAACAAACTGGCAAAGCAAAGCCCATACTCTGTGTGACAGAGCAGCAACTGTTCTCAGGTGTTGCACAGTAACACATTTATTTTAATCCTTCAAAGTGAAATGCATGGTTTTCCACAGCTGCCCTGTTTTTGCCTAAACCTCTTTGCACTGAAATCAGCAGAAAAATACACCCTGGAGTCACCAAATGGTTGATTTCCATGTTGCTATTGAGAATTAGTGGGTTTTATATCTCCTTCCTAGTGTGCCAAAGGTGTGTATAACTTAGTCTGCCTCTGTGCTGTCTTACCAAAAGTACAACCCTACATAAAAGGTAAAAATAAGGAGTGGGGGAAGAGTCCTGGGCCACTGCTGCACACACAAGCCCTAGCAATCAGGAAATTTCACTCTGCTCTATCTTTAAAAATGCTGGGCAGGAGCACTTGCCACCAGCTTCTCTGGATCACATGTAGTCCACGTGTCTGAACACTAGGCCAACACTCATCTGACAGCATCATCCTCCTGTCTGCTCCTCTCTCTTCTGAAGCCACATCCATTCTTCCTGGAAGAAGGGTCAGCCCTTCAGAACAGGCTCTGGTGGGGCTCAGATGCACGGCTGAATCACCACCGCTTGAGGAGTCAACTGAGCTATGCACTCCTCGCCTGGCATGCATGTGAAACCTTTCACTGAGGTTTAAGCTAACACATTTACAGTGCCCACAGGCTCGCAGGCAACGTGTGGCCCCACACAGAGTTGCCCCGGGGTAGCTAGCTTGACTTGGTGCTTCAGTTTGAACATGGACCACTCCACTGTTGCTTTACAGCGTTTCACCATGCCGGTGATGCCTGTTAAGCCTGGGGCTTTTCTAGCAGGGAGGATCCCAAAAACAGGGTTGGGGGTGATATCCTGTCTGACTATTTGGGCCATCGGTACCTTATGTACTTTTGTGGTGGTAGAGCACTCTCACTTCTAAACTAGATGGTGCAAATCAGCATTTGTATAAGTAAAGAATCAGACCCAGTAACTTCTAAGCTAAAACCCAGCCCCAGTTCAGCAGTGCTGTGTAAGGGTTACCTTCGCTGGGTTTTTAACACAGATGGTACATTAATGTTTTACTGTAATGTTTTCTCTTGAAGAGCATCCTAGCAATAAACACTTCAAGATGAATAGTTTTCAACTGATGGCTAATATACAACAGTCAGAGCAGCCAGCAGCAGGAAAATAATCCCCTATGATGATAATTGTTATATATTACAAATGACTGTCGACTCAGTTCTATAGCTTCACCATGCTTAATCTTTAATTACAATGCACAGTGCAAAACATTGCTCCTTGCAGTGGCTAAGAGCTGTGCTTTCCACACTCATTTGTGATATATGTGTTATTAAATCACAGTTGTTAGCCTTTATGATTAAATACAATGCAGAGTGGAATACAGTCTACCTGCAGCACCAGATTTGTGCACAGTGAATATATCATGCAGTCTAAAGGCAGAGAATTTCAGCTCTTAAAATATAACTGTGAATGGATTGAGACAGGTGATTTTCCTCAACAACATTTCAGTGATTGTGAGCATCACTGTTCTACAGTTTCAGGTGAAGGACACTCGCATTTCTGGGGTGGTGATAATTATAGAGAGAAGAAATTCATTTGAGTTCAGGGAAAATAGTTTCCCCTTGTTTATTATGCTCCCCTGTAGTGAATTGCACATGTCACCTACTATACAATGGGACATTTTTTAAAGCAGTAATGGTTACTTTGATTTTATCAAGTCTCTGCAACTACAGGATTTGCCAAGAATCACTACAATTATTAATATTTTGATATATTCCTTAAAGAGAGAGTCAAAAGGTGAGATGCTTTACTGAAGTAGTCCTGATGCACTTACATCATGTAGGTTAAACCCCTTTAATAGACCTCAGTCTACATTGAGTCTTGAGCCAGTAAAATGTTGAAGTGGGTATGAGGTTTTAGGTATGTGAATAATTGTAACTAATTGAAATGTGTTAAATGTATGTATAAGTGCTATGCAGGATCAGAACCTTCTCTGAAGTCAAACTCATAAAATAGAAGGGACTCACTCTGTAGGTTATTTTTACAACTTTGTTTTCCCTCCTTTCAGTTTTCTCACAGGGGCAGCTTTTGGATAGATTATTTTTGATCTCTTTGGATAGATATGAGATTTTGAGTTCCAGGCTGACCTGAGAGTTGAAGTAATGAAAAAAAATATTGTTTCAGTTGTCTCCAAATGAATTTTGGTTTACTGTTCCAGCAAAACAAAAAATAATTGCTCACAAATAAAATTTTCTTCTCTCCTTTCATCAGTAGCAGAGGTTACATGCATTTAGGCGTAAATAAATGCTTATCAAAAAACCCTATAAACCTTATACAACTTGATTTGTAGTCTTTCTAAAAAGATCCTTCAATATTTATTTTTCTACTTAATAGATGAACATCCTAAATATCGAAGGTAAACACAAGGTACATTGACAAAAGGGATGTGATTTTTAACTAAATACATATTTAACTTAAACCTGTCAAATGTAATATGCTGATTTATAGTAATTCTTGTGTTTGATCAGAACTGATCTGACAGAACACCCAAGTGTGTTAAATCCACATTTCTTTGTGGGGAAAAATAAGTTTGAATCAAAATATCACACTCATTTCTCCCATGAAAAATTATTTCAATGGCTGATGCAAAAGTCATGGTCTTTTGTTTGTGCTGAGGATAAGTAAGCAAGATAGCTGCGAATGTCACTTTGTTCAGAGAGAGATCACTTAGGCTATGACAATAAAGAAATTCAGCCAGACGTGGCTATTGTTATGGGCACTCATCCATTAGACTGACATTTGCTGAAATGCTGAAAGATCACAATAAACAGACTAAATATCAAGTTGCATAAGATATATTGACTTTTCTGATATAGCAAATATATTATCTATTTCTGTATCTATATTATCTCTGCTACTGAGAGAAAGGGGGAGAAAAATACCACTATTTAATGAGAGCAATAAATTTTTAAGATTACTGTCCTCACCCCATACTGGGGTAGTTAATCTAAAATAGCTAAAAATAATCTATGCTTGTTATTTAATCAATGCTAGCAATTAAAATCACACATAGACTCACTCACAGGTTAACACCAGAGGCACAATATATTCACTGCTCAGAAGTTCAATGGTCAGTGTTAATCTATTCAATCAAGGATGATTTCAACTTTGTTATAAAATCACAAAATGAAACTGAAAATAACAAATGCAGCTGGCTTTGCCAGTTCCTTGCAGAAACATGTTTTCAACCAATTGAAAGTAGGTCTAGCACTAGCCCATAAATAACTTTCCTCTCGACACTTTTACAATAGACTACAGTGCAGCACTACAGACTTGTGATTATCTGATGAAGGAGAATCACAAGCTATGAGCAGGTCGTGCTCATACTTTGTTTCAGCAGATAGGTGACTCAGTGGCACTGTCAGCATAGAAATGGCAAATCTGCACCCATTTGGCATGGTGTCACCAAACTAATAGCACAAGCTGAGTTTTACCTCCTATGAGGATCCATTGTTTACATAAAGGTAGAGGGAAAAGGGAAACAAGTTTGTTTCTCTTAGTAGAGTTTGTGAAAGTAAGAAGTGCATTTAGATCTAAGACAAATATGGCAACATTGTATTTTGAAGTGAGAAAAAAGAACAGTTCTTGAGAAGAGGAAAATAAAATAAAAGTATTTTGGAAGTAGCAAACAGAAAGAAAAAAAATCTCCTGTGGCAACAAAAAGCCTAAAAAACCTTAAAAAATATAAGCACTGCAAACCCATATGCAGACCAAAATCAGCCCAGAGTTGAAAACTTCTGTGTGACACACCTGTATCTAAGGATCACCAGTGTATGGGAGTGGATTGGAAAGGGCAATCTCATGGGGAGAATAAGTCAGTTACACCGTGGAGTAAAGAAATTTTCAAATCAAATACCGAGGATATCCTTCCTAGACACCAAGGTGAGCAAAAAGCCCGTCTGGAGAACCACTTGAATGTAACGGAAGGAATGAAAGGAACAAAGATGAAAAACAGAGTGAAAGGGATGTGATCAGCATTGCAGAGGAACACAGTGGCCATTCCATGCCTCCATATGGAGGAAAAGGGCCCTGAAAAACCTGTCTGTGTGTGTCAAAACTCCTTCTGTGGGCACACACTTGTCTACAGAGCTGCTGAAAAGGTCCCTGGGACAGATGCTGCAATGTAGAACAGGTGACTGAAAAGTAAAAGTACATGGCTAAGGCATTATTTCAAATTTATCAATTTAATGCTGGGTCTGTCCCTTCCTCTGCTACAGTGTCCCCTACACCACGCTGGGCTCAGACAGGAACAGCTGGCTGAGGGCACAGGGAAGGTCTTAATAACACCACTTTCTTGGTTGTGTCCTTGTACAGAAGTTGGGGAAAGGGTTTGTAGGCAACCAGGATACTGTGGGTGGATAGTCCTGCCTTTGAGAACTTAGGGACCTAAATTTCAATAAGGAAACAGCCTCCTGAGAAACACTGTGAGTACAAATTCACAGACACTTCAGCTGCCTGTGGAAATGAAGGGATGGAAAGCAAAATACAGGAGTCCCAATGGAACAGATGCAAAGAGAATGGAAGAGAGACACCAGGAGGGCAACCAAACTAAAATCAGAGTAACTGGCAGTAAGTACTGGCATCATTCCCCACCCTCACTAATAGAGCACGTTTCATTCTGTATTCCTTTTGTTCTCCATATTTGACACAAAACCACCATATACTTACTAAACGCTCCATGCCCATCTAAAGTCAGTCCCAGCCCCAGTTCACTGTATGTTATATACATACACCCTTCTGCAGAATGTATGGAAAAGTCAGCTTACATGTTTGAAGTTCCTAAATGGCACAAACTGGACAATGTCTCGAAGCACAGGCTCGCCCTTGGGAGACCTCAGGATCCCATCATCACCATCCAGCATCTGCATGTCACTAAAATCGGCATTCCCCACCCCGACGATGATGACTGACATGGGAAGGTGAGAGGCATGGACAATGGCCTCTCTGGTGTCAGCCATGTCTGTGATGACGCCATCCGTCAGAATCAGCAAGATGAAATATTGCTGAAGTTGTTGGACAAGAAGTGAAAAATTATATCATTAGTTAATCGTCCAAAGCTGCTTGCCCTTTTCCAGTATAAAAGTGTGTCCGGTAACTCACTCATGGACTTTTTTAAATAGAAAAGTCTCCTTATGGTGTCTCAAAGGTTAAGTGCACTTCCCATACAAACTTCCTCAGCTACTCATTTCTCCTCTTCTGAAGTTTAGCTCTAGTTCAGGTAATTTTTGGGAGCTGGAGGGAGCCAAGGAATGCACAGGGTAGAAAAGGGGTTTTCTAGCTGCTAGGGCTGGGAGAGTCAGGGCTTTGACTGGGAAGTCTGGAATAGTCCTGAGATCCCCACTAGCCCTATTTTCCGTCTGCTGCACAGTCATTTCTGTTGACAGTTTCTGATTACATTTTTTCCCCTTTGGGAACCAGTGGGAGGCAGGGAGGAATGGGGTATTGAAGCGTTACAAGCCTGTAGCAGAGCTGTCATGGAGGTTAAGACAGCACTTTGCAGAGGAGCTTTGCTAACAGGCAAGTGGGATGGGTGCAGCCATCTGCAAACTGGAGGATGACCCCACTGCTGCCTGTGGGAGAAGCACCGCACCATGGCAGGTCTACTGCGTTCTGCAGAGTAATGGGGTCCCTGAGGAGAGCAAGGGCATGTGCAGAGGGGAATATATCCATCTTCAAATGCCTGATACAGAGCCCTGAAGAGAGGTTTTCTCATTCCCTAAAGGAGAGCCAGCAATTTTGCACGCTGGTCATTTTGTTCCCCAAACTCCAAAGCCCTCTGAACTGGGGTCATGAGCTATAACATATCTTCATTTGGTAGTGGGGAAGACTGACTCTCACTTGGATCCTTTATAAATTGTTAGGCATCTGGAGTCATTTAATAAACGTGCATTAATAGGAAAAATGAACAGGTCATAGAATTTTGTCATTCTTCATAAGCAATATCAACACACTAAACATCATTAAAGTTTATGTATACACAGCTATATAAACTCAAAATGTTCTGCTCATCACCTGCTGACGTGAGTAAAACAAAACATGCAAAGGAGAAAACTTTATCTTGAAAACTCATGCTATAAATTAATTTGGTTTTCAAACAGAAAGAGGGGAAGCTTAAGTTTAGAAGAATGAAGCAACTTACTCAATATGACATACTAGTTCAGAGGCAGCACTGGGAACAGAGTGAGCCACCTCAGGATTAGGTGGGTATGAAAATTCAAACATAGCAATTCCCCATTTTCGGACTGGGACCCTAAATAGTATTGAGATCCTGGAAACAGCAGTGGAGTGACAATCACAAGCCCAGACTCATGAAGAGAAATGCTTGGGAACTGCTGCCTTAACAGGACTTAAAAAAAGGCTTAGCACGTGAAGAGAGCTTAGAGAAAGTTCTAGGCCTGGTGGTGAGATGCATGCCAATATACAGTTCAACTGTTCCTATACATAGGCATTTTTATTGCTGTAGTGTACAAGTTCTCTCTTATATCCTTTACTCCCACAGCACTGGGAGCACTCACATATTCTCTCCAGTTCTCTCATTCTCCCTTTCTCTCATTCTATCTGGAAGGCAGGAGAAAAATAAGCCTAATGTATTTCAAAGACATACACTTAAAACATGATCTGTGCTTAAGTCTTTTGGCCAAAGAAATCTGCCATCGTTTTGGTATCAGATGCAGGCTAACAGACATGTCTCCTTACTTCTAAAATGCACATTATAATCCATGTCAGTAATAGCAAATTGAAAACTGTATGTCTACAGTTTTCAAAGGAATGGTTAGAAAATCCCCTAGTTGAACAAAGAAGTTTTAGTATAGCCTCTGCAAGAGACCTGAAACTGGGTAGTCTGTGTAGGGAATTATTTGAACTCATGTTCTTCATGATCAAGGCTTTTAGGGCTTGGCCCTTAAATTTTTATAACCCTTAGTGGTGCCATTTATGTTTTCACAGTGAAAAACTGGGTGTGTTACAGTAACACAGCTCTAAAAGCACGAAACAGAACAGTGGGGGAAGTTTAAAGTTGTGACTATCAAAGCTATAAAGACTAGATACACTGCTCCAGCTGACAGAGACTTAAGCTGCCTTCTGTGAAGGCAGTTAGTGAAAACTGTGAAGGCATGATTCACATACATGAAAAGGCCTTGTTTTGATGGCCTACAAGAGATCTATCACAAGAGAAGAAAAAAGCCAAACACAGCATCGTGCCCTTACCGAGGCCTCCTTGGTGTTGGTCTCCTCTGATGCTGATTTTGCCACCTTCTGGATGATGGGAGCGATGTTTGTTGGCCCATACAGCTGCAGCTTGGGAAGGCAGCTCTGATAAGCCTCCACAACACCTTGTATTCCTGGTATGAAAAGCCAATAAAAGGCAAATAAATGTGGAGTGTATCACCAATATCATGCTTGTTTAAAATGTAAATAAAAGGCAGGTTCTTAATGAATAAATTCAAAATGTCACATGATTAGCAGGGACTGACAACTTCAGATTATTTTTGAGAAGCTGTCTCTAGCTGCCTTGAATGTAGTTTGTAATATATAATTCATGATACCATGTTTCTCCTTCACAGCGTTTTTTTATGTCTATTTTGCAGGTATCAGCTTGCAATGCCATATCTTCCATTCTTCTCAGTTCAAGGTGTAAGTGATCACTTCCTGATCACCAGCTAAGATTCATGCTAAAAGGACAGACACAAAAACACTTCAACACTTCTTTCCTCCTCTTCAGATAAATATTTATTTACCAACAAATCTGCCCTTTGTACTTACAAACCAGAACAGTCAAGGAATTCAAACATCTTTTCAAACACTTGACTTCCCTGTGCTAAGAAAATAACTTTTCAAGGTGAATTTGCATAATTGCTCTCAGCCTGAATTTGACTATGACCAAAAGCTATGAAATCTTGGAAGAAACAGCAGGATGCATTGCAGTCTACAGAAAAATGAGCTTTAGTCAAGAAGTTTTGACGGAGAACTAGCTATTTTTGGCTTTTTCATTTCAGGATATATAGCCAGACCAGCGAGAACAGACTTCTGCTGACACACTTGACAGATCACAGAATGAAAATTGGTATTTTCAATCATTGAGAAGAAGGTTTTCTTGAAGTGATGCACGTTAGCCTCCACATTCAGAACTCCCAGCTTACCAGAGCTAAAGGATTAGAGGTCTAAAGTTGGAAAGAAAGTCATAGACTGAAGAGCTTTGTAAAGGATGCTGAAGAATGAAATGGCTTCAGTAAGCCCTTAAGCCAGTTTCAGTCTGCACTGAGACTAGCTCACTCATGAGATTTTACTCAACCATATTTACAGGATATATGGGTGCAGAGTGGTTACTGACCGATCACAGGGAGTTGTAATTGCTTCACAATGATACACCTGAACCTCCTATGAAAAAAAATTATGAAAAACAAGTATTCTCTCTTTATACATAGCTACAAACACATTTTTCCATTGCAGTGCTCACAGACAAAAGAACACGCTCCAATTATAGCTATGATTGGCTAAAATGTAATGTTACATAATTTTCCTCGGTAATTCTAGTGACTAAATTACATATTGCAAAACTGACCTTTTGTTAACTCCCGATTTTAAATCTGCTAAGGATTTTATTACCTATATTTACTGATCTTGCATGAAGGCCTCATAAATCTTCCCTATGATAAGATACACTGTAGGTTTTTTTCTTATGCATTAAAACAGTGTAAGATAAACTTTACTCCCTGCATTCCACACAGATTTAGCGTGGTTCATGTCAGAAAGCTGCTTTCGGCTTAGAAAGAAACACATTCTAGAAACATAATTTCTTTTTCGCTATCTTAGATTAATATCTTCTAGAAATATCTACTGTCCTTACATATCCAAATCCAACAGGATATTTGAGTGGCTTACTTTGTAGCTTGCTTTTATTGGATTCCTTTATTTTAGGGACAGCCAATGTGCATTTTTCTTCACAGTTCATCTCTTTACATTTTTAATTGGAATCCACTTTCGATAGCTCTGATGAAATACAGTGTATGCATATATATATGGGTTTAAGATGCATGTAAAATGCACATCTAGAAGCATCATTCAGATTAGAGGTTGTCACTTCCTCAGATAATAAAGATTCTATATTAAGTATAAGACTATAAATACACTATAAATACCCTAAATATAAGACTGTAAGTACTAAAATTTTCAAGAATGGGAATAGTAACAGGGGAGGAAAGGTGAGGATATCTCTATTTTATGAATACCAGTGATCTTCGTATCAATACATAGTCCCTATTCAATGTAGAGTGTTGCTTCACAGTACCTTGTGCCAGCGAAGGCTCACTACTTCCACAAAGGTGTTTCTTTCCTCAAAAGCAAATTAGACACGTACTTTTTATATTGGATCCAACCTCTGTTTCTTGGTTTAAAGCAAGATACTCTTCGTCAATTTTCCTTTGTTTTCTGGCAAGTATGCTAAATATTACAAGGAAAGATAGTGTGGTCACTAAGCACTTTATCTCCCTTTCACTCTTGCATCCTCTCGCCACATGACATGCTGGTTTTACTGCTATCTGAGTCACCTAATACAGTGAGAGCATCTAGAAAACATCACAGAACAATTGGTGGTAGGAACTAATCAAGCATCCATGACAGGCAGGTGATGAACAAGCTAAATGTTTTCTGGTCTTTCTCCTTTTCTTGTTTTCACCCAGATGTATATAAACTTAAAAGGTATCATTTAGGACAAAGAAGTGCTTTATATATCTTGTAGATGCATGTGCAAATGCTGCGAAATTTATTCCCTGGCATTCTCTCATGCTGCAACCATCTTTTTATGTCTTCTTAGTTCTAAAACTCCATTTAGGTGATGTGTTAACATCAGATAACTGAGTCTTATGCAAAGAACTGAAGCAAGTTTAAATACATAACAAATATAAAGTGATATAAACCAAGGCAAGGGTCATAGAGCAGCTCCTTCTACTTTTTTAAACCTCCTCTCATTTCCATTGTTACATTTTATTTTGTGTACATAGTATGGTCTGGATAGTAAGTTCTTTACTTGCAGGGGGTTTGTCTGTCTAACCTCTGACCTGCTGCTGGCATTACATAGATGTAACAGTTTTTTCAATCGATATAAATCATTATATAACAATGTCAGTGTGACAAAAGAATTAGCCTTGACTCAAAAGAGGCAGCAAAGGAGGAATTAAAAATATGTTCTTTGTATGGACTGCTAGGGGTTTTTTTCTGAGGTACGCGGAAGCTCACAAATGTCCTGCATTTAGACTGGGAAACAAAGCTATATCTAAACACTACCTGAATAAATGTTCTATCACCTAATGCTGACCATTGTTAACTGAAATGTTTTAAATGGATCAGGCCCTGTGTAGATGTCAATGTGTCTGTATTCAGAAGCAGGCAGCTAACACATTTTAAAATACGACGGTCCAGACAAAATTCTGAGGTCTGTTTCGCTTCCTCACCTCAACCCCACACCCTCAGTGTGACTGAAATCTCAGTTTCAAGCTGGTTTACAAGTTTATAGGCACTTCTAGATACATACATGTAATTTCTGCTTCTTTTAACTCCTTAAAAGCAATGTAAAAAGCTGTGTGGACACATCAAGCAGCTGTAGGACTTATGGCCAATTACATTTCAAGCATATGACCTGCAGAGGCTGGGGCAGTCCAACAATCCAAGTGCAACAACAAAGCAGGAATGCCCACTGAACCGAAAACAGAGGTCTTGCATTTAAGATGCATGAACTCTGATTTTTTTTAAATGTCTCTTTCCCTTGAATTGCTTGTCCTCTCTTCTTTTCCTCACTTCATTTCTTGGCTTCTTAATTCTCATCCTGAACATATTCTGCTGACCATGCCTGAAAGAAAGCCACTAGTAAGTCTGAGAAGGGCTGAAAGGAGCAGCTAGAAATTTGAACAGGAAGAGCATTTTGAAACCCCCATTTCAGTGTTTGGATAGTAGCAGAAGGATAAGCAAAGAATAACATCCTATGGATTTTAGACAGCAACATTTACCTGACCAAGACACTCAGCTGTTAGTCTGGGATTACTTGTTAGACTGTTGTGGCAGGAGATTCTAGAGAGACAGCATCAGCCACTGCAGACCTTACAAATACAAGACATAGAGCAACATCTGCTACATGAATCTGGCCTCTGACTACAGAGGATTAGTGATTGTTGCTAGAATACACCAATACCTTACACTGCGTTAAAACACCCTCCTGCTGCATTTGCTGGCATGAAAAGTCTGCTTCCTTCTACCACAGTAGACCTGACCCTTTGGTGCTGGACATTGCTGGTCTGACTTGCAGCAGGCTACTGTTGCTGTAGGTTTGGCCAAAGACCTGACTCTAAACCAAGGGTGTCTTTGATCACATAGGTTCACAACCTGCTTTTGCACATCCTGCCCTTCTTAGCTACACAACCTATGATGTTGATGTAGCTGAAGATCTGGAACAAATCTAGAAGACATGGCTTTAGTTTTCAGAAGTGCTAGCAATTTGAGGAAGTGCAAGTGCTGAATGTCCAACATGGTGTACTTTCAAAGGGACCTATTTTTCAGGAAATCAATGTGTGGCACTTTCTAAGGTTTCTAAAGCTAAGCCAGATGGCTTGGAGTCTGCCAGGTTTTGAAAATCCTGGCTGTTTTCTTTAGAAAACACTTTGCATAATACTCAGGAGTTACAATAAAAAACGCAAGCACATTCTGCACACAGTAAAAATATGGCAGTCTGTCCTAATGTGAGTGTTACCTGCACATTCTGGGTTGTCTTCGTTGAAATTGATTGCAAAATCATGAGAGACCTGCAGATAAATGGAAAGAAGAGAAAAAGACTGTAGTCAGAAAAATTATTCCAAGAGGACTTGCAGTTAAACACCCTTTACATTCTTTCTGTGTTAAACCAGAGATCTTTCAAGCTTTCAGCCATTAAACATGAAATACAGTCCCAGCTGGAAGTCCCTGCAGAAACAAAGGAACAAAACTGGAATCAAACTTGTCAACAGTAACAACAACAACAAAATGAATGAAAAAAATAACACAAAGAAAAAGCACCCAAGTACAAGAGCAATCACATAAATAAGGTGTCAGTATTGGGCTATCAATGTCAGGCACAGAAGAGGGATCTATTGCTGAGGAGATTTAAATACCAGTTCTCCCTAGCTGAGCATCTCAGATTGCAGGAGAGAGAAAGCAGGCTGTGATACAGCACTGACAGCAGAAGCTCAATCCCCTTCTGAAACCTGCACTCATATGTATGAACAGTTCCTCATTTGAAGGCCATGGGAGTATTGGAAAAATAACATTCTCCAAAGAGATCAAGGAAGGCACCCAGGCCCACTGTGAAATAATAATGTAAGAAAGGTAAGGGGTCTAAGATGGTTAAGAAATTAGATTAGGCTGGGGGGAAATTAATAAGAAAAAAATTGAAGACTTGTTTTTCCTCAGATTTAGTGAATAACCCAGTCTCTCTCAAAATCTGTCCGTAATAAAATACTAGAGAACTGTTTTCTAAGAGAAATAACTGTCAATACAAAAAAGTTGCTGATTTTATAATAAACAATGTATTGTATCTTTAGTGGCTTGGGAAAATAATACAAGACTTCTTTATGCACGAACAATGGAAGGCAACGTAAGTCTCAGGTTCCAGGCTTCCTCTGTCTGTCACTTAGAGATCTGCACCCACAGCACAAAACTGTTGGGACTGAAATTTTCCCCAGATGCTCTTTTCTGGTTTTAAGGTTTGTTGTTGCCTGTGTTGTTTTCCAGATTCCTTTTTGCTCCTTTCTTTGATCACTGAGAAGGCTTGATTCCATTTAATCTCCTCAGATCTGAAGCTCAGTCTCTTATTCTCCTGCTTGTCTTACATGAAGCCCAGCTTTTGTCTTGCAATGCACAATGTATATGTTTATTTGTTTGTTTGTTTGCAAAAACTTGATATGGCTGAGAGTTAAGCATAATTGCATAATTTAAACTCAGGTATATCGTCCCAGAATCACGAGGACATTTATATAGCTAACTCCAGTTACACACAATTTGAGACTTTACAGATCTCTGTAGGACCTTCAGAAGTGCCAACAGTCCTAGTCATATGGAAAGCAACCTGTTTACTCCCTGTACAATTGAACCTGGATTATTTGCAGAAATAGATTTATTTGTTGGATGTCACTGTTTTATTTGCTAGTTTAGATGACTTCACAGCACACTATGGAAACTGATCTATGACGAATAGACCCATAGATCAAATATGTGATTAGAGAAGTTTCTGTAAATGTGAAGTGGTATAAATTGGCTAATTACTGCCCAAGAGGTCTTCTCATAGAGAAACTGTATTTCCCCATCATATGCTGGCCTTGCTCACCACAGTGATGCCTACCATTACCCATTAAGGGTTAAATAAAGTGGGACTTCTACCATGATGGGAAAGCAATCAAGCAAAAACTCACTGAAGAGTCTGCAGTTACCTCAGTCCAGCCAGGAATTAGGTATGTCTACACCAAGCATCAGTTGCCTCTTACAGAGGGTTTTACATGGGCCATTAGGCTACCCTACTTGGCCATGGAAGGTAATGCAGAAAGTCACTACTTATGTTCCTTGTTGGACAAGCAGAGAAGAGCAGGTCTGTCAGATGTGCTTCAGAGATGCTCCAGAGCCCTTCTGTCTGGCTGTGCTATATGTCTCTTGGCACGCTTTGCCAAGCTGGTATCTGCCCGCCTCATGACCAGCTGCAGGCCAAAGGTAATTGCAGCTGTCAAGAACAGTTATGTGAGTCTTCACTCATTGATGTGTTTTTTGTCATTCAATAGCCTTTTGTCTTCCTTTAGGCCTTCTGTATTTTGCATTAACTGCATCGCAAGAGCAAGAAGGATGGCAATGCATGTTTATGTGTTGCAGGCTGATTCTTCCAACACTGTGACTCTTCAGTGATTTTATGTCTTTATTTCGAATGCATTTGAAATTACAGGTAAAGGAGTATCACAAATGTTTTCCAGAGATATGAATACAGTACTTCAGTCTCACATGCATGCATGGGTTGCGTGCTTTTGTTGCTATACCTCTTTCAGGATCACACTATGCAAACAATTTATCTGGTTCAGAGCTATCACATCCAGCCTATTATTTAAGAAAAATATAGACAACGGTTCAGGTCAATAAACAAAGCCCAAGTCTAGTAAGTGTGTACAATGATCCAAAAAAATAATACTGTCTGAGCAACGGCTGCTATCCTCCCAAAGCAAGTGTCCCTCATACACTGTCATCCTGACTCACCAGGAACAGTATTAAAATGTATCCTGAAGGCAGGACAGGAAACACAACAAATGTGCAGAAGTACCGGGTTGTTTCCTATGCTCTCCGGACAATATATCAGGATTTAAACAAGATTTAAGTATAATGTGAAGGAGAGAAGTTATTTGAGCAGTTCGGTGATAGTTCACAAACAGGCAGTCATCACCCAAGGCAAGCCAACAGCAGATATTTTCAAAGCAGAGTTTCTCCAGATGCTCAAAACCAGCTGAGCTTCAACCTGCTCCTGTGCTGTCTCCGCTATGGTGGCCAGAATTCAGGACGGTCCAAACCAGCAGAGACTTCAGGCACATGACATGTACTGAAGGTCTTACTGAACTTGGGCTGCTACCTGATAGGACTCCATGTAAAGCCCACCTATGTCAAAAGATAGTTTGGAGTAAACATTCAATGCTTTTGTTTAAAAAACATTTTTTTTTTTTTTTTTTTAATTGAATATGCAAGGGGTTTTGTGACTGAAAAACAAACCATGCTGATGACAGAGGACCAAACGCTGGCATACTGAATGGCATTTTTCTGATGTTGAATGACACAGCTCTCATGCCTTCCAAGAACTGACAAACTAAAGGGGAATAGGAGGCAAAAGTGTGAACATCTAAGATGCTGAAGGAAGCAAGACACTTTGTTGTTCTGAAGCAAGCATGTTTATATAATCTACCAGGGTGATTTTTATGATGGACCAATCTAATGGTCAGAAAATCTGTTGGAATATGTCAATCCATGCAAACAAGAATGACTGTTTTACATTGGTGCAGAGAACTTTGCAAAGAACTGCAGACTGTGGTCTGTGGTGGAAGTCAGTTTCACGGTAAGGAATGTCCTCACAGAACTGTGATTGTGTCACTAACCCTGGATTATGTTTTGAATATGTAGCTGATCCACTGGCTCGGTCCTCCTCTCTCTTAACATCAATCCATAAAATCAGTCCATAAGAGGAAAGGAGAGAAAAATTGGAGTGCAGAGGTGATTACAAGCCTGGCATTACCTGGGTTGCTGCACAAAACACCACTCAAAGCCTCAAGCTAAAGACATTTACTTGCACTTGGCTATGTATTAATCTTTTCCCTCTGCAGGACTCCAGATAAATTATTTAGCAGATTATATCATGTGTATGTTACTCCACATTTTTTAAACCCCTTTAACTCAACTTCCATTTTTTTTAAATAAAAAGCGGCTTTGACTCAGAAACCACATCTTTAATTAATTTTGCAAATGCTGAATATGGATGCCTGAATTCTGAAAATTAGTAATCCTTTTTTTCCCTCTCCAGATTGTTGAATTCAGTTAAATTAACCTCCCTGTCCCAAATAGCTCCAGCTTTCCAGAAGCCTCTATGGTGATGGTACTGGGACTACTTGACAAACAATCTGACAAATTCAGGCAGGTTTAGGAATGCTTTCTTACTAATTTCAATAGAGATGGTTAAAAATTCATGAACAATAGATGCATACAAGCGTAAATGCTGAGATGCACAATGTTGAACACTTATTTGTGAATAAATTGAACACTATTAAGCCACTGCCAGTCTGAAAATTAAATACGGAGTGCCTGCATATTTTGCAAAAGCTTAAGACACTAACAAATTTAAAGAACCATTGCTCAAAAGCTATTATTTTCAGAATGCTCATTAATCAAATAGCTTGAAAGCTGGACAGCTTGTGTCTCTGGCTAAGACCACATTGTAGATATTTCTGCTTGGCAAAGCTTGGCCATTTATTTCCTTTGTACTTGATTTTTGAGCATGCTGCCCAGTTTCCATGTCTAAATCCAAGCTGTGTGGATAAGGTGGCAAACTCTTTTTTTTCCCAACTTGTTACATATTCTTGTATCGGACCTTTTTTTTGTCAGGTTTGCATATATTTTTGCCCTCAAGGTCCTGAAAAAGTGCAGGAATCACAAAGACCACAGCACTTTTCAAGCCCCTTACCTGTCCAGCAAACCAGACAGTGCAGGTTAAGGTTGTAAAGATGCTGTACTGTTTCTGTAGCTGCAGTGAGGTTTTCTCCAGCAACTCTTCCCAGCACAAGTAGTGAATGAAGCTTTTATTAAATATGCAGAAATAACCAGGACTGTCTTAAAACAAAATGTAAGTTGTTTTGTACCTATTCAGGTGTCAGCCTGCAATTCCTCTTTAGGAAAGAACACTTCATTATTGGCAATACACCTGTCATGGGGCTGACACAATTTGAACTTTCTTTTCATTTTAACAGTAAGCTTTGTGCTGCTGTGTGTTTTTTCAGCTCCTTTGAGTTCTGCCTGCTAAGAAATCAGTGTGTATGGTTCAGCTTGCTTTCCTCCTCTTCACTATGAACTTTTGCAGCAGTGTCTGAGTCCATATTATCTGCCACCTCTTCACTTTACATCAGACTTTTCAGATACTTCTCATTGCCAAAAAAAAAAAAATGTGATGGGTTAGAGACACTGCTGTGGACTAACCAGAATGTTCTACAAGTTTCATGTGATAGAAACTCAATAGGAGAATATTGTTCTCAGAGGTTTACCTATCAAGGAGCAGGGTGATGTATTTGTCAGGCCTTGGGGAAAAAAGATCATATTGCCGAATATTAGATGAAAGATCTTTAGACTGATGAGGAATGTTATATATGGCATGTCTTGCTTCCTTCACTCCCACAGATTCCTTATGCCACTAAGAAACTGCTGTTTTTCTGCTAACAGCTGAAGTGTTTCATTTGGAGCTGAAATGAGGGAAAATAAAGTCAGCGTAACATAGCAGTGTGGTCTTGAAATGGAAATTTTGTAGAAAGCGTATATAAAAACATGTTTTTAAATGGGTTCAACCTCAAGAGATTCATGAAGAGACTGCAGAGGTGGATACTGACATTGTTCTGAAGTGTTAATGTAAAATGGTGGGGGGTGAATTTTTCCATGGGGAATAATAGTTGGCATAGCAAACATTGTTTTTCTTGTAGCGTGTAAAAAGATGTGAGGAGGTTAGAATGTCACTAAATGAACAGGTGGATCCTGCCCCCCAGCACTCATCCCAGGCTATTGGCAGGAGCTCAAGACAGTATGAAACCAAGGCACCGGTTTGACAACACTGCAAATGGACACCTTTCTCCTATGTGGTCCAGTGTGCCAAGGAAACCCTGGCAAAAAAAAAAAATATTAGAGCTTATGGCCACCCTGAAAGCAGTGGCTTTCAGCTGATCCTAAATAGCAATGTTAGCACTGATTCATGCTGAACAGTGAGTTACAGGCCACATTTTTCTGCAGCTTGTGACCAAGCGTGACATAAATTAGATCTGAATCCACTCAATCCACTTACTTTGCTTACTGTTTTTATCAGGCTGCTTACTTCTGGCCTTCCCTCACCGTGTAGCTGCCATGCATAGGTTGGTCAGTTTTCATTTAGACTTTTAAGCTATGTTGTTTAAATTTTGTGGAGTCTTTTATGGTTACTTAGAAACCTTTGGCAGTGGGAGTCATTTCCTCCACCCCTACCAATTTGTTGTCTATTGGAAGAAAAGAGCAGCTGCTGGTGTTCAGAGACCAACATGCTATGAGCAGGTTAGATCATGTCATTAGGACCAGAGGCTCAAAATCAGACACTCTAAATTAAAATGAAAGTCTGATTTATTCACGTGATGGGGTTAGAACTTAAAAGGTCTCTTAATGATTCCACTTAAGCTTGAAGATGTGAATTATTACAGTTATGACTGCTGTCCTCTAATAAAACAAAAAAGTATGTATGACTCATAATATCTTTGACTGAAAACATCAAAAGAATATTTGAATAGCATGAGATCTGCAGTGTTATGGTGGTGTCTATAGTGCTACCATATTTTTGCAGCAGAAGATAAGAAGTTAGGGGAGACAAATTGAGATCACTTTTTCTATAGTCTTTTTTACTCTTAATTATAGCAGTTTCTTCTTTGTTTCCTATGCAGCTTGGCTATGTTCCACATCAAACACTAATCATTGTTGGCTTTAAATTAACTTTATGATACCAGTGTAGACTAAATTACTGAAGGATTTTATGGTTTATTGGTCTTGACTGCATCATGATCTCATTGACTTGACTCTCTTAGAAGGTGTATCTTCAATTTGGAAGTGCAGCCAAAGCCAATCAGGGACTCGAAAGTGTTGATAGTTTATTCTAAGAAGCCAGATACTTGTATGGACTGTGTAGAGTATCACAGGGAGGGACTGAACAATAGCACAGATGACTTAATTCTTAATTCAGTTCCAGCTGGATGGGCCCATGATAGACACCGAGCTAATTATTTGTTCCCATCTGTTGCACAGCAGGGCTAGTCCCCCCCCTCCCCAAAAATGGTTCTTCTCTTCTTCAAAGTTTTATTACATTGATAAGCTGATGTCATGTCATTTTGTCATTTTCTGTCACAATTTTTCATAACGGAGATTAAAGATGTTCTGTCCCTCACATCTCCATTTACTTTGGGACTTGGTTTGTTTACTCACACATATGAAATCCACAAGCACGTAGCCCCATTTTCTTAAGTTTACCCTTACTTTTTCTGAACTTCCCAAAACCTGAAGGTCCCAATTCATCCATTTTCTTGCTTTGAGAGGTTAGTAACATATGGACACTTCAGGATAGCTCATGCTATTGGACAAGACCCTTCATCCATGCATGGGCTGCTATTTTCAATGCCAGTCTCTGACTTTCTTAAGAGTACTTGTCAGGAAATTATCCAAACACCAGTACTGCCAAAGCAGAAAATAAATTGGTGTTTGGGATTGTACAAATATATGGTTACAAAGTCCCCCTGAAATCACTTTCTGACAATATGGTTTCTTTAGCTGACACCTGAGATATGCTCTTACAATCAGGTGAAGAGGCTGTTGCTGGGGACTAACAAAACTGGTATATATATTGCTAGTATCTCATATGACCTGATGCATCAATGCCACCAGTTGATCATTTTGGCTAAGAAGCAGTCTTGTGCTGTGAATTTTACTGTACTACCATCACCAAAACAGTGACAAGACTTCAGCTGGCACAGTAACATCTTCCTTCAAGCAGTCCTTAGATAAGGATGGCTTTCCACAGCTGAAAGAATTGCAAGTATTCTCCCATGCAATGATGGTCACCTTGCAGATGGTGGAACAACCCTGGCACACCACCAAGCTCGTGACTTTGTTTAGGACACGGTAGTACATTACATTGTCAGTGATGGTCAGTACTGGGCTTGAAAGAGTGATCTGGTTGTGATGTATAGCCCAGCCCATCCAGCCAACACCTCTATACAGCCATGGGTAGGGAGGCATATATTCGTGGCAAAGGGATGAACATTTGAGAAATAGCTACTGTGCTCCACTGATGTGTCTGGTGGTGGAGGCTGCTCATGTTTATTCTTCAAAACACTCCCCCTTATATAGCAGAGATGGTTGTCAGCTGCTGCAGTTGGAACACATATACAACAGACCCATGTTCTGTGCACATTTAGCACATTAAAATCTGTATCAAAATTCTGGAAGCTGTCTTTGATTTTGGAAAGCATTAACACTGGAACAGAGCACTGCAAAAGACTTTGTCAGGCACAGTCCTCTTTTTTATAACAGTGAATTTTAGCTTAGAAGGCAATGCTGTTAAGGCGTACGTTGACTTACTTTAGACACGTGTTTGCAAGACACACATCAAATTTGCTGTACATCACCACTGTTATTCTTATGCACGTATTAAACCTACAAGCCACAAGGAACGTACTGGTACATTTTCTTCATCTGCTGATTCATGCTTTACAATGCTGAGTGACACATAATCCCTCTCCACGGAAATAATCACCTGGGCAGCGTTCACCTCCCTACCCCAGGCACAGCTGAGACACACAACCCGGAGCAGGCAACATGGGGATACAGGGTGAAGTCCGCATGATCAGAAGCCTAATGCTCTTATTTTCCAGATAGTATCTGAGTTGCAAGATCCCCAGCTAGTTTTTGGTTACTTATTTGTGCAGAACTACTTTTCTGCCCACACTACCTCTGCATGTACAGGACAGGATTTGAACTTCTGCCTATTTCTTCTTAGTTCTTTCTCTCTTGGATGCTACTTCTTTCACTCTACTGTCTTCATTCCAGCCCTACCAGACTGCATATTTATGCTCAAAACTGCACCATCACTGTGAATCACTCTCATTTTTGTTTTTTGTTTTTTTTTTTTTTTATAAATACTGCTTCTCTCCAGCATACATACATGCTCCTAGATTTCTCTTTGTGATACTGACAATGTCCATCATGACACAGAAATTTGCCACAGAGCTAAACTCTTCTAAAATATTTATTTTCAGGAAGATGTTAAATCTCTTCATCATAAAGCATGGACATTAGGCTGCTCACTAAACCAAAAGCTTCAAAAAATGGATCCTGTCAAACCAGGGATCTCAAAGCTTCAAAATATGCTTGCCAAGTATTAAAAAAAAATAAGTTTTCTTACTAGACTAGCATCCATTAACAAAGCTTTGCCAATACCATGAAATATTCTGGGTGTAATACAACTATTTTAAGTCTAGCTTTGATTTCTGGTTTCAGTGAGTTATCACTGGGTGAAAAAGCTAGATGAAAGAAAACAAGAAGTAGGAGCTGCTACCCCTCGCCTCTGCCCTGCACCGAACCACCTCACCCTTATTTTGTGCCTCATAAACCAAGGGAACTAGAAAATGTCATTTATGCACCTACTTTGTATTCTGGGGGTATCCTTGCTCCAAATCCAAAGGCTGGGAACATTTTGTCACTGGAAAAGAATAATAAAAAAAAAAGATTTCCCACAGAGAAATGCACTTTGTTACAATAAACATTTAATCTTCTGTAAACATTCACCAAAAATGCAAAGCAGCACAACAGTACAGAATTGGCTTTTAGGTCATGTTACATGGCAGACTGGGAGAATATTGGATTAGAGAGGGAGGGGTATGTGCTGATCAGATAGTGGAGTGATATGGAAGATTTTTCAGGTGAATCCCTAGTATTTTTTGGAACTGAAAATCAGTTGGAGAATACCGAGGGATCAAGATATCTCGCACGTCTCCCACAAATGCAGTAACAGGTCTGTATTACCCACTCTTTCACACTACGTGGCTGCAGCATGAGGGTGAGTTGTCTTAACAACCTGTAACAACATATAAATATAAATTTCATATAAATACAGATGTGTTCCTCCAGCTCAGAAAATGGGTGTAGTGAAGAGGTAACTCTGTAATTAAAAGTGTTCACAAATCTGGGTTCTTACAATTGTCCAGGTGCAAAAGAGACTTCCTAAAATATCTGAAGGGCAATTTCACACCCTCAAACCTGCAGGTTCTGTAAAGCTTTCCACCTGCATCTTTAGTAATTTGACTGAAACGTGAAATTATTCTAATTAGGCAGATGTTAGACAGACCCTAGAAAATGCTGTGGCATGGTCACTTTGCTTTCAAACTACAGTGATGTTGTTCTACCCCAGTTAGATCTGTAGAGACAAAAATTCCTGATTCAGAGAACCTGGAAACTTCAAGGCTGTTAATACCCTTTCATGCAATAATGTCTCACACAGCCCACGTGTTGTCAAGATGCCTCTTCCCAGATGGCAAAGTGGAAAACAACAAGCTGTAAGGAATGTCTCGTCCCTGAGTCAGCAAAGCACTTGATCACAGACTTGAGGTTACCAATTCACCCAAATGTGTGCTTAATTCTAAACACATCCTGAAGCCCCACTGGAGTCACTGAACTGTACTCCAATGCTCTGATGAATCAAACCCCTCATAGGTTTCAGGGTCCTTGGAAAAGTTGAGTGCCTACTGCCATTATTGGCACTTTCGAAAATTCCCGAGAGGCCAGCAGCTTCAATTTTCTTTATGTTGTTCAAGATACAGCCACTCCAAATATGAACTGAATAATTTACTTCCCAGACATACTCAAGAAAGATAATAGTACCTATTAAAGCTGCTGGGCTATTCTGTCTGATATAGGCTGTGAAAGGCACCATGATATTTCTGATACAAGCTAAAGAAAAATAGAAGAGATTACAAGAAAACAGAAATAAGTGCCCCACCCCCCACCCAGGTTAGTGTAACCATGAGAAATATTCACCTGCTCATCGGGAAACAGTGATGACCGTCATCGGATAGTTTAGCTCTCACAATTGTTCTGCTACAAAATGTAGTTGCCGCATAAATCTTGGGAGCACAGTTCTGTGTACCATATGTTACACTGTGTGACAATGCATCTTGGAAAGGAAGACTAACATCATTTGCATGGTAATGAAACATTTTTTTTCCAAGAGATGTCAGAAACAAAGTAGCTGCTGACATTTGATGCTAACCACCTGCTGATAGCCTTCTCTTTGATTAAACACTCCTGGAAGTGGGGAAGCCCTTATAAATAGCTGCAGAGAATTCAGGCACATACTTAGAGGACAAGAAATAAGAAGCCATTAGAAAAGAATCCGAGGAGAGAAAAAAAAAATATCTTGTTTTACATCAATGGTTAAGTATGGTTGGATTAGAAAAATCAAACCCTGTGGAGCTGCAAGTTAATTGATTTTGGGGAAGAGCAAACAGACTAAAAAAGAATTTTACTTAGGTAGAACATAAGTGTCTAAGTTCAATAAATCAATCCAAAAAGCTGATGTTGGCAGCAATTACCCAACCTGGGAGATACCTAAACCCATACAGTGCCTGCATTTGTACTGCAGTGTTTCTCGGGTGTGAACAAGTGTAGGCACTCTTTTATCTACATCTCCACCTTCTGCTCTGCAGCAATTCAGAGACAGCACTAAGTGATACCTCCAGCAGCCCGGATTTTCCTTCTGGTGGTGAGACCCCCACGTTCCCAGTCACACAGTGGCACAGTCCCCACTGTTATTGTCCACCCAGAATACCTTACCACCACAGTCAGGACACCTGCCTTTTTGTCTCAATCTCCCACCTCATTTTGTGAGCAAATGCTAGTTGCTGCTATCATTGCCTTGTGAAAGAGTAAAGCTTGATCATGTACCCCCTCAAGATGGGATTTCATGTGGCTGCTTTTTAGAGGAAAATGCATGAACTCTAGAGAGGAAGGGTATCCTAGCATCTGCCCCTGTGCTTAGGGCTTTCTCTTGACTCACTCAGGAAACTCCTCATTTTCCAGAATTTAGGCATATACCTCTGGTATTCTCATTCCAGCTGCTGGGACCAAGGAATTAAATTTCATGTGCTCCCAGAGCTTGATCTTTAGGGTAAGAAGGGAACCTTTTGATTATCACTCATGACATCCCTTGCATAAAAAAGATAATCATATTATTCCCTAACCACACCTCAAAATTTGTGGCTGACAGCTTTCAGAATAAAATAAAATTTCAATGTAAGCAATACTTTTCCTCTTATCACATAAACCAAGGTGTTTAGCTAGTATAAAGGTCTCTTTAGTAACTATGCAGTTTAGGGGCGTAGTGATGTTTTTCATAGTAACTGTCTCTAGTCTTCCCATCCACCCCGTACCTTGTCATATGAGAAAAAATCTGGCAGCTAAGCCTGCTGCCCTCATTCTGCTTGTCCTGCACTACTGAGACATAGCAGGGAAAAAGTGACCCAGAAGGGCAGCCAAGGACTCTCTTGCTTCCAGGACAACCCCTTATGGTATAGAGGCATGACATAGCTGCTCTACCAGACCCAGGGCTATCATGGCAGCTTGCAACAGAAAACAGAGCAGCTTTCCAGTTTCTGGAAGCTGTGTCGAGAGTTAGGCCATCCAGGGACTGAAACTACTGTCAGAAAATGGAAAGAAGGTTTCCTCCTGCCTCAAGGGTGAATTGCATGCATCAGAGACTCCAGCCCTGTTTCCTAACCCGGCATTTAAGTAGGAAAGGGATCTGCTCTAATGACTTTTGTCTCTTTGTAATTTAAACTCAAAAGAAGAAAAGTGAGAACCAGTTTTCTTTTCCTTTGTGCTTGCTCCGGCATTTGGGCTTCATTTGTACCAATAAATAGGCCTGGGGCCCTGCCTGAAGCCCTGGAACCTGCCTATAGACATGGTCTGTTAGCAGTCTTCCTGGCATAGAGCTGACTGCTGCCAACCAGCAGCCCCCAGGTATTTCCCAGGAACAGTGCTGGGGACAGCTGTGCTTGAGACTGCTCCCAAATGGCAGTTTGAGCATCGGCGGTTTGTGCTGGGAGGAAGGAAGAAAGCTGACATACAATGACAAGGGCAGTGTCATGTCCTTGGCCTCAGGACACATCAGGATCTTTGATTTGTTTTGTTTAAGCCTAGCCAGAGTCCTTGGCGCATGCAAGGCTTGCACTGCACTGCTGGAGACAGATTGATGAAGGGACAGGAGAAAAACACAGAAGAGTAAAACCAAGCTGGTTCTATAAAACCTGAAATTTGCAAAATCAAGTAAGAAATAGATGATTGTGTCTTGGCAGAATCTTCACGATATTACTCTGTCATGTCTACTTCACATTTTATATTGGTTTTTGTTTTATATAGGTTCCCTTGAAAATTAAAACTTGGCATAATTTTCAAAAAGCTGAAGTACTTGACATGTGAAGATCAAAAAAGCAAAAGCATTGGACTCTGAATTTTATATGTGGTTATATAAGGGCCCTGAGTAGTCATGCAGGCATAGATGTATATGGCTTCTGGTACTTTTCCCAGTCAAACAGGCATAAATTACTGAAAGATGCCAGACTGAGCAGATCTAGGTTATACCTTAAAGGTAAAATCAGGGAGAGAGTTCAGGTTCACTGTTCATACTGGTAAATGTAAATTAATGTATATAGAAAGGAATTGTCAGGACTCCAAGACTGCAGTCTTCTGAACAGAAATACAACCAGTTAGAGAAAACTCCCTCAGTAACCTCGACTATAACGTAAAGCATAGCAGAAAATAAATTCTGAAAATATCCCATAATATCCTTTCAGAAAATTGCTCAGTTTTAGTCACCCATCCTTCAAGCTATCTAGTGGAAACAGAGGAAGCACAATGACAAATCAATACATTAACAGGGGCAGAGAGGAGAGAGATTTCAGTGAGTTGTACTGCACAGACAGAAAAAGAGATGAATAGAGAAAATAGCAAGGTTTTTTAAATTAGTAAAATTGATACAATTTTCTGTTTCATTAGGAAGCCTAGTGTTACTGGAAGGTAAGAAATATGTTTACAATAAAGATAGGAGAGAAAATACAGAACACTTCAAAATCCTGTCTCATTAACCACTAGTGCCCTCTGACACGGGAGTATCACTGAAACATGGGAGTTCACCTTTATCCTGAGAAGGATTTTCTATTCCTAGTAACAAGGAAGAGAATTCAGATAAAACTTCAACCGGGTGAAATTAGTCAGATGTTAGAGAATATTTTGCAACTTCCTCTGAAGCTGCTGGCATCGACAATGCTGCAGAGAGAGCTAGATAGTCACCAGTCTGATAATACCTGTATTCAGAAAGGAAAACAAGAGCTGCCAGGACTGTGCTCTCTGAAAATTAGCTTCTTTCTAAAATCTAAATTGGGAATCTAAGTTCTTAATGGTATGGAGTAAATTAAGTGTGTGTGTGGGGAAAGGCCTAAGTCATTTTATATGCTATTTATTCATTCTGAAAGATGAACTTCTAGGTAGCCACTTACACAGGTTGTTTGGGACTCATTTTACTGGTACTCATGAAAGCCTTTTGCTATGTAGCTATAGATGTGCTTACCTTCAAGCTCCTGAAGTCAATGCAGCAATTTGTATGGATGCTAACTGACCTTGGAGAGTCTCAGCATGAAAACCTCCTCA